GAATGGTGCACGCTGCTACCACTTCTGATGTCCAGGGAGAAAGGGAAAGAGGGAAATACGGAATACGGGGGTTGATACGCGTAGTTGTGAGAGATAGAAGCAGCAGCATGAGCTTCGCCACTCGGAGCCATCTTGGTTTCGCTTGCGGCGCGGAGAAACGTTCTTGACTCGACTGAGTTTTACCGTTCAATTTTCGTTTTTCATTGTTTTATTCGATGAGTTGTGTCATTCATCATTCGCTGAATTTTAGAACTTTGAGGATTAAGAATGTTATACCTTTAAATCTAAACCTAGATCTAGATCAAGCCTAGACAACTCTAGATCTAGAGTTATCTCTTCAGCTTCTGGATCCCTAAATCTCTGGCATCTGGATGCCTTTGGTCTTTCATCTCAAACTTTTGGGATTATTAACTGTTTAGATTTTTGAAATTTCGAGTCCCTAAATTTCTAAATTTAACTTTTAATCCGTTAGATTCGTAAAATTTCATGTGCCTGGATTATCAGCCCTTGGATCGTCAGATCTCTAAATTTCTAAGTTCAAATGTTCTTGAATGTTCTGAGTTCGATGTTCTTTCACTTTCAGAATTCTAAATTATCACAATTCCGTAAATTGCCGAAAGTTTCTGTTAAGAAAAAGGGGAAACGGAAGAGCAAACGAACGGTTTTTCTCGTCGGAAGAGCGCTATGGGAAAGAGTTATGGGTCTCCGTCGCTCAACCAACTTTTTCGTACACGTGAGGGAAGGTTAAGCTGCTGGGTATAGAACGTCCAATGTATTACGTGCAAATTTATGATATTCCGACAACAAAATACGATATTTTTCCACCGATAATACGTCTAGTATGTAGGTTTACTGTAGTAGTTACGTATAACGGAGGTCTCCAAAGTAAGTCGATGTAAAACGATAGGGAGATATACACCATATAGTCACAGAAAACCTCCGTCGGCTCAATAACATGCGACAAAGTATATTCTTAGAGTAATCGGACGCCCGCATGTCTAGTCCCTCGCACAACTTAAGGCTGTTTCAAAAACAAGGAACTAAAATATGCAGGACACTCTACTCTATGCAACAATATAAAAAGGATATTACAGAAACGTAAAGTATAAAGTCTTTTTTAATTGTTACACCAGGTAGAATATATTAAATTCAGTGGCTTGTGTTTGAAACACCTTCTATAGTCAGAACAAAATTGACCGGTCGTTCGTGGTTCCCCGTTTCGTAAAAGGTCTCATTTAGGAAACGCAGTGGGCGTGGCTAAGCAATGAAATAGGCGTGGTTAAGCAATAAGGGTGGGGGTAGCTCCTCGGTGGCCTCGTACGACCAGCTAATCTCACTTCGACTATAGCCGTGCTATTTTTCTTAACTCACCATAGGTCAGAGAAGCACAATTATCTACTCTTCTACCAATACTGATCGATTCTACTCATCCTTTTTAAGTCATGAAATAGAAATCTCATCTTCACTGAATCCGGAAGATATGATTTACCATATCGAACGGAATACATCGCCTCAGTTTCCCCACTTATCCACTCGACAAGAGCTTCCCTTTGTTTCAGCGACACCCTACGGGGTAAAGTGTATTATACTAATGAAGTTTTGTATTTAGATACAAGCAGATCTCGACTTAAATATCGTGCAGAGCTGGATAATCGTCATTTACATCGATGATCATTACTTCCCTTCGCATTTGGCATTTGTGGATAATTTCATTTGTCATCGATAAATGATTTATTGATCATAATTGTTCATCGATTTACGTGAACTTCATTTTTTAAGATTCAGATTTTTGTTTTATTTCAAACTTAATAGAAACTTTAACGTTGTGAACCAGTTTCTCTGTAACATCTTCATAGCTCTGCGCAGTCAAGGTTTGATTGTACACTGTAAAATAGGTAGGAATTCGAGAATGTCCCTAGATTATCCTCGTTCCGTTTCCGTCGATTTTTTCCATAATTTTGTACGGATAGATCGTTAACGAGGAGATCGTACGTGCGAGATGAACGTCGAAGACCTATATCAGTATTACTAACAATTAAACGGAGGACAACCTCGTGAAGGGCTGCGGCCCTTCGTAGCGATACTTAACCGATAAGCTAGGATCGTTTCTAGGAAATTGTCGTGTTGTGTATTTGTGATCCAAATAGAATTTTTTACAATTAAACGAAACCAACAAAAAGAATGTTTAAGAAATACTTTCAACTAGCATCATTGCCCGACTATCGACTATATAAACAACAATTTGATAAATTAACTTATGACACGACTAACTTTATCAACATTTTCCTGTACTTTTCGGTTTGAGATCTACAGATACACAGTCGCGACCGTAGTTTACTTTGATCCTGGAACTACCGGGAAATCAGATTTGTCTTGTACTTTTTCCATAAGATTGACGAAAACCAAATTATTTTTAGGCGTTTCTCCAGAAGTTAATGAACTATTAAGAAGGTTCATTTAATGATCTTCGACAATGGCGACCCCTTAACTTCATTAATCGCGAGTAAAGGACAATTTGAGGGTACTGGTGGTTCCAGCATCGACGGTCTTTCGTTTTCCCGATCTAAATAGATAAATTCCAGTAACATGTAGCTTTGTAACGTGTATCGCGTACTACACTATAACGAGTACGAGAAACCATTTTTCTTTCCTTCGGTTCCACCTTCGAGTCCAGACACAATGGAGCGAAATTGTGTTTACGTGAATCACGTGCCAAATTCTAGGATTAACGGAAATGTATATTAATAAGCGTATATAGCCCGCGAACCGGGCGATTATGTAGGCTTGCCTTAACTTAAGGACCGTTCATTACGAAATAAGAACACCCGAGTGCAGCCTCGCCGGGCGTAATCAAACTTCATTCCCCACCTGACAGAACGGGAGAGAGAGGGGGGGTGAGAGAGAGAGAGAGAGAGAGAGAGAGAGAGAGAGAGAGAGAGAGAAAGTATGCGTGCGCGCGTGTGCGTGAAAGAGAGCTAACAATAAATTTCTAAAATTTCGTAACACAAAATTCAGTGGTTGAATGAAATACACCGTTCTCCCGTTTCAATGCGATTTGACGCTTTCAATTATTATTTCTAGTTTCTTAAGCGTGTAACATAAAAAAAGAAAGTTTCTCAAGCTTCGAAAACCAATTCTTTTTCGGTAAAATACACGATAATCCCTTCTTCTTTTATATTCGAAAAAATACTAGTACTTTTTAGAAGAATATTTATTACAACTTTCGAAATATATACAGAATTTTTTATTTGATTCTCCTAAGAGAGCCTTAGTTTTCTACGTACCTTTCCTATTTTTATTCGAAGTTTTAGAGTAAGCCGCTTAAGATTTTTTGAAAAATTTGTATATGTTTTTCTTTCGCCGTGAATGAATTACCTGTATACACCCCGTGCGTTCAGTTTAGCGAGCGAACTTTGTGCAACGTGCGGCTCCGAATTAGTCTCTGGGCAATAAAGGCCAGACAGATTTCGTCCCCGTCGCGCGATTATCGCGAGCAGCGAATATATCGGAGAGAACGACGCTCAATTATTAATCGAGACTGCTTCTACCTCGTTGCTCGTTGCAGTCGCCTTGATTGTTTAATGTATTTCGTATCGATTGCGAAGATTGGCGGGTCCCTCCTGCTTTAGCATTTAAAAAAACATATTCCTTGCCTTTTTCCTTTTCGTCTGTTTAAAAAAAAAACTGAAACTTGGAAAAGAAAATTCGACTGTGGATGTTTCATTAACACTTTGCACTCGACAATGGTTCTCATTATAAATATCCATTATTTTCTGATAAAATATTGATAATATCACTTGAAACTGACATAAATAAAAATCATGCGTAAATTATGGGACAGAACTATTATGTTTTTGTTTCGTATGTTGATACCTTATACAATATTTAAAATTGGATTTTAAAGTATATAATTGTGCTGTGTTGAATCAAATGGTGACTGAGGGTCGTTTCTTGAGTACAAGGGGTTAATACGTCGTATTTGGTAACAATTTGAATTAATGTCTCGAGCGATAGGAGGATAGTAAACTGCAACCCTATACAGCAGGAAGACCTGCCGTAAACTGGCGATCATTGTAAAAAGACACAGTAAAAGACGCTCAAAGTGCCGAATAAAAGAGACAAGCATGTACCAATGTATTTCGAAAATTGATTTCACCCTTTCCTTCGTTCACTTTACAGAGAATAACATTGAAGCAACCGCACCCGTCAAAATGACAGGTTTCAGTTTTCTTATTTTGCAATTATTGATATTTTAAAAGCGTTAAATATCCGAAGTGATTTGAAAAATAAATAGTTCCACTTGAATACTACGATTAATGTATGAAGGAACCGAAGAAAAATCTATTGTCACAATTCTTATAAGTATTATATATTAAACACTCGGTTGTTCTAGTGTTAAATAAAGACCAGTGCTGAAATAATACAAATATTGAGATGGAAATACGGATAGGGATAGTATATCGTAAAACGCATATAAAGAGTTGTCAATTTACAAATATATTTTTGAGTGTAATATAATACAATTTATGAAATCTCTAATTGAACGATTTCTTGAATACTTTATGAAAAGTTCCACTGAATTTGCTGAATTTCACAAGCACGCGATCATATAAAATTTGTTTCGACGAATCGTATCAATATTAGGACAATATCATAATCTATAAGGGATAACATTTTTCCGCTACAGTATAAATATATTTCTCTGTGTAGCACAATAAACCTAATGAATTTAATTGTCTAATAAAGATTTTCAATTCATTAAACGATGAGGAATACTTTTGAAATAAATAGTTTGTCATGGCGAGAGAACATTGAATGGCATTAATACTAAAGCAAAAAAGACGTTAAAAATTATTTTTGATTGTTAAAACTTATAATAATTAAATGTAAAATGTTACTTATCGATAACATCATAAAATCATACTCCGTTATATGACATAACCTGCTCTTTTTATAAGAAAATAGCTATCAAAACAGATGATATATAAAATATAATATATTAAATTATATATAAAATTCATTTAAGATATCCTAAACTTGTATAAAAATCTTATAAACTCAAGAGTTCTGGTAATAACATACGTTATTCATTGAGTACTCCAGAGAAATATAAATACAATTGTGGTCCTAGATATAACTTACAAAACTAAGGATAATCATAAAATTAATCAAGAAACGCGTAATTTAAGACCATTCGCTGCAGAATTATCTTTTAAAAAGCATTAAGAATATGCAGTGAAACATTTGAATATAAAATTAAATATAAATAGGCTAAATTTAAAAATGAATATCATTACATAACATTAAATAATTCATTGATTATAAAATATCTAAAATTCTGAAAAGAGATCGGATGTAAAAGATTATGAATACGTGTCTTGAACCCATGTAACTTTAAAATTAAATACAATAAGGAACACAAGTATTTATATAATTAACATATAGAAGAAATACTGATTGTAGTAAAACATAACTGAGCATATAATAACCGAGAAAATTATAAGTAAACATACTTCCTATATTTTGTTTCAGTCATATACTATTTATTATTGTAATGAATACAATGTACATTTAATAATAAGGTCGGCAAAAAATTAAAATTATGGAGAAATCTTGTAATCATTAAACACGAAAAGATCTCCTTTACTTTCTCTACATTATTAGAAATAAATTACATATGAACTTTGTAATATTATGTTATGTAATTATGTAATACATAGAAACTGTAACATTATGTTGGTAATATTAATAATGTAATTATAGAATGAAAGAATCCCGTGGTTAAGAAAGTAATACCAGAAAATACTAAATTAAATAGTTATAGTAGTTAATGAAAGTAAATAAATACTTCTGTTCCTCTCCCTGCATTTTTATAATCTGTACATGTTCATTTTTTTGTACTCAATTATTATGGAATTATATACTTTAAATCAATTCATGTCCAATTGCCCAATATACCTGTGACTGTTGCGTATATGGATTTACTGATACCACTGGATTAGAATATACTGGTGGATACATTTGTGGTTGGGGCTCTTGTTGCTGTCGTATGTCCACTGTTGACAGATTTGGTAGGGCAGGTGTAGTTTGATTAATCACTATTGACATCCCACCACTTGAGGAATTGTTATAATAAAAAGCAGAAGACGGGTTTCTTGTAACCGGCTGATTTGTTCTTATTTGTGGATTCTGCGTGGATGTTTGAACATTCCCTGAATAATTAGCATCAGAATTGGGATACTGGTAGTATATTCTGGGGGAATTTACTTTTGTCTGATTCTGTGTGGTATACTGAGTTTGTTTAAAATTTTGATTACTACTTGGGCAATTAACATTACTCGTTGTTGCATTATCCATATTGCTATGATTCTTAACCATCGAACGTTTCGGATAATATTGACGATAAACCATTTTATTATTTGCATGTATATTGCTGTCCAAATCAGTATTTAATGTTTTTGAAGTAGTTGTATTTAAACATGTTGCGTCGTTAGAGCTAATTGTTGCAGATGTTACTTGAATATTCTGTACCTTGGAAGAACTTACTGCCACACTCATTGGAGTTCTTGCAGTTATTTGAGTTATACTACGCGGTGTAGATATTTTACGCACAATATTACAAGCTGGCAGATTTTTATGGTATGCAGACATAGAACTTTGCGAAGAAGTTACTGCGGTATGTGGTTTTGTAACTAACACTTTTGCATTGTTTGTCGGAGAGATTAAAGGTTTCAGAATCGGAATTGCTTTTGCTACCTTTGTCAGTGGTTTAATAATTACTCTTGAAGATGGACAAATAATCAACTTCTTCTGCCCAGTAGAACTTGAAGGCTGTTGTGAAATTGGATTGTTTTCCTGAAGGGACTCCTTTGATTGCTTTTGTGTTGTGTGAGTCGAAGAATGTTGTGTCAAATCTTCAGCAAATTTAAAAGAACATTGACACACTTTACAGACATGTAAGGAATTTGCATTTCCTACAAGTTCTGCTAAAGTTTTTACACGTAAAAAACCACGCTTTTGTTTTACAGTATCATTCGATTCTAATGGTTCTTTAATATGTGTATCTTGTGTCTCTTGTAAGCACATGTTCTGTGAAGAAGTTGGAGTTCCTATATTATCAGAGGATACTGCATCTGATGAACTAATTGTAATCTCTTTTGAAGGTATTCCCGAAATATGCTTTCTTGGAAGTGAACCACTTTTGGGTAACAAGATTTCAGAAACTGAAGAAGCATTTGTATTTAACGTAGACGAAAGTATAATTTGTTTCTCATTAGGTCTATCTTTTATTACTGATTCATTATGTGATTCAGAACGTTCTGTTAGGTCTATTACTAATTCATTTTCAGAATCGTCCTCTTCATTTCCTTCTAATATGTTGATTAATCTCTCTTTATCGAGGTCTGCACTAGACTGTGAACATTGTACTGTATTTTCTCCTATCGCGTTATTATCTCGATCGTTTTCTATTTTTACAAATTGTTCAAACATTTTTTCAATGGTTGACTCCGTTGTTTTCAGAGTATTACAAACATTATTTGCTTCAGGATTTAACGTAGAGCTTTCCTGATTTGTTACTTCATTTTTCTTTTTATTTTTCTTCTGTTTATTTAAGTTATGTATAATATCATGCTCACTTAACCATTTTTGATCTTGAAAGCCAACATGGCAAAGCTTACAAACAAATTGAACATCCTGATAATTTACAGAACAAGATATTGTATCTTCTTTAGTTCTGCAATCATGTTCTTTGACATGTTCCAGAAAAGTATCTAGACTGTTGCAATTCTGTTTACAATTTGTACAAATGAAACATGGTTGACTTACATAATGTTTTAACCAATGCTTATTAAATTGATCAATGGTTTCAGTTACTTCCATACAAATGCTACAAATAAATGTTCTTTCAACATCTGTGAGAGACACACACACAAACTGAGGATCAGTAGCAAATTTATGCTTATTTTTCATATGCATGTATAAGTCTAATTCTTTGGAAAAATTTTCATGGCAGAGACTGCAAATTAAACGTAATTTAAATTGTTTTTCTTCGACAATAGACTGTACATTTTGACTTTTTGCTGAATTAACTTCTTTGCAGGTTTGTTTATGCACTTTAAAATGGCAATCATCAATAAAAATTAATTTACAATTTCGACAAATATATTCTCCAACATAAATATAGTTATCTATGTATTTATCCAAAGTAAATTCACCTGGTTTACATGCTCCTTTTTCATTTTTCAATTTCAAATTTATTATCGAACTTTTAGGAAATGATTGTTCATTACCAACCCAAAATGAATTCTTTGTGTGTTTGGACCAATGAACATAGAAAAGTGGTCCTATTCCAATAAATATAACTTTGCATATATTACAACGAAAATCCATCACACAGTTTTGATTGAAACGAACATGCGTTTCTAAATGTTGGCGAACATCTTGAACCGAACTAAATATCATACCACAACTAGCGCAGAATAAGTTTGGAGATCGTCCATTATCAAATCGATTCTGATTACAAACCGAATACTGCGAAAGACGATAATGAGATTCAAAACATTCTATGCTTCGAAACAGTACTCTGCATGTATGACATAGAAGAACTATTTCAATCTTTAGACAGTTAAAATTGGAGTCTGCTTTATTATGGCATTGACATATTGTAAATAATTTTTTATTGTGAATTGCTTTATGTGTTCTAATTTTTTCTGTTTTATTTGCAGAAGACGTTTGATTACTTTTGGAATTGTGTTCCCCAAGAGAAACTGATTTGTTTGTTTTAATATTACGAGTTCCATTTACTTGTTCAGAAATTCTGGATTCAGAATCCATTGATGATTGTTCATCTTGTTTCTGATCAGTTAATATTTTTGAACAATTCTTTTGGCTTTCATTAGTAGATTTTGAAAATTTTTTTACTGAATGTTCATCTTGCTTATGTACAGCTGATGCTTTTGAACAGTTCTTTTCGCTGTCATCGACATTGTTCGAAGATTCATTTGTATCATTCTTTGCTTTTTGAGTTTCTGACTCAACAATTTTCTTTCCTTTCTTTACACTTTGTTTTGCAATCTCAAATGCTCCTTGCAATTCACTTTCTGTATGTGAGAAAATATGAGCTGCTAAATCTGTTCTAGATGGAAATTCATGAAAACAAACATTACACTCGTTTGTGTCATTAGATGGTCTGAGAACTTTATGTTTCTTATGTTTTGTACGTGCAATTCTTTTCTGTAATGAGTCCTGTTTATCTGTAACACTAGTAGATGAAGATACAGCTTGTAAAGTACTTCCTTCATTATTAGACTGTTGAGATTCTGCACTTCCAGATGCTGAAGGAAACAATACTTTTACTTGCATTCCTTTTAACATTTCAACATTCTTTATTAAAGTTGTAGGTTTCGATGGAGATAAAGAAACTTTTGTTGTTTCTTTTGCATGTTTACTTAAATGTTGTTGCAAACTAGAATAGTCTTCAAAACAGAGATCACATACAATGCATTTATAACTATTGGAAAAATCTTTACCTTTGCTAATCTCTTTTCTTTCTACAGCTTTTTTATGTTTTGTTGGAGAAACTAAGGAAGCACTAATTGTTGTAAGTTGTTTTCCATCTGTTTTACGATTCTGAACAGTTGTATCTCTTAAGTGTTCTTTCAGTGAAGAACTTTCCTTTTCTGAGGTAAGAGGTTTTCCAATATTATTCAAAGAATCTGCTATAACAGTTAAAGATTTAGACTGTGTCATATCTGTCTGTTCTGAAAGTTTACCACAATTTGAAAAGGAAGAAGCATCTGTAGGACTATTTACATTAACATTTGAAAATTCAGAATGTTTAGTAGATTTTTTTATGGGAGAAGAAGGAAAAGTGGTTTGTTTGATATTACTATCAGATGTTTTCTTGAATTTAATCTGTATGTATCCATTCTCCATTGTCAGTGTGCACTGTTGATGTTCTATATCTTTCTTTTTGTCCATTATTACATTGCTTGCACGAGTAATATTCTTGATATCTTTTAATTCAACTGTATGACTTTCACTTTCACCAGGTTGTAAATTTGACCGTAAATCGTTTATACTACTAAAATTCGATTCTGCGACATTATCGTCTCTAGATGATAAATTAGAATTTAACAATAAATTTATATACCTCTGTGTCAGCTGTTCAATTTCTACAGCTGAGTATTTATTATCAAGTGAACTTTTAATATGTAGCAAATCTATTAAGAGGACCCTTGCTTTTTTACACAAATTGTATTTTTGTATTAACTCATTGTCAGACATACACGACTTATATAATTGTTTCTGAACTTCTGTAGCATAAAGAACTACTTCATTTTCAGATGTACAACTTGTATCCCTTACCTTTAAACAATCTTCCGAAGCTAATAAGTTGGAAGCACAGTTTTTTTCAATACATTTAGTATTTTCTTGAAATGTATTCTTGATAGCAACCAAGTTACACGCTTCATTCACAATTTTATCATTAACCCCATCTTCTTGCTTATTGTCTACTTCAATACTCTCAACATCTATTTCTTCATCATCATTATCTACATTTACTTCTTCACCATCTAATTTATCTTCCTCCACATTCACTTTTCCATTCTTATAATTTATTTCTATATTCTCAGCATCTATTTTTTCATCCTTTGCAATTACTTCTTTATCTTGAACATCTGTTTCTATACTTGTTTTATTAGAAAATCCAAGTACTTTTTTAGGGGCATTTATTTTTGGAGATGATTCAGTCTGTTCTTCATTCAATGTATCATATTTTTCAATAGTTATTATAGTTTCTTTTTGTGGTGGACTCAATTTTACTCTTTTTATTTGTATCAAAGTTTCTTCTTGCAATTCATCAGAATCAGCTTCATTACTGGACTCATAAATAACTCCACATTTTCTTTTGGATTTTCGTCTGCTTGGAAATAGATCACTATCGCTATCAAGATTATCGCTCTTATCATCAACCTTTTGCTTATCTTGCAAGTTTTCACTTTCATTAGTATCTGAAATTGAACTACCGATTTTACTAACCCGAGAATAATCATCTCCATTAGTACTTGTTGGTGACTGTTGTGATATTAACCCAATCTTCTCAGTTTGGATCACAGCTAAATGTTGTTTAACTGGTTCATGTATAACTGTATTAGATTGCTTATTTGTAATTACTTTTGCAAATGACTGTGCTAGTTTATTAATTACTTCATCTATTCTACTTAACGTTATAGTTGGTTGTTTAATATTTTTGAATAAGTCTTCTTTACTTTGTGTAATATTACTAGATCTTTGAACTGTGGAAGCCGCTGAAATTTGTAATTGAATTTCATTAAATATATTCTCAGAAACTTTCTCATTTGCATTTTTACAATCTTTCTTATCTACATTTTTAACAACATTCTTAGTTATATCTTTAATAACTTTGTTTTCATGTATTTCTTTATGCATTTTATTATCATTGCTACATTTTGCTTTCTTAGTTCCGTGTTTACCTTTTTTCTTTCCACGACCATAGAACTTAAAAAGTTGTTGTTTCTTTTGCCTGTTTCTGATGTTTTTAATTTCAGGAGGCTTTCCATGTAATTGCTTTAAATCTGAATCTGTTAATCGCATAAGACTCACTGACATTGGTTTACATAATAATGAGGATAATGATTCTACATTATTACATCTAACTGATAAATGATCTCCATTTTTAAATACATTTTTTGGTCTTAAGGAATATGTTTTAATATTTGATATCTGGTGCTTTTGGTACTTTCTTGAGCTATGTAAGTTTGGTGTTATGTCATTCATATTCACAGGACAATTGGGGTCATAAGTATCAGCATTGGCCATTTCTTCATTAACATTTGACATTCCTATTAAATAGAAGCATGCTATTACCTTTTAAGCCTTTCACCTTATAAAATATTAATAAAGAAACCACAGAAATGATTAGTCATTAACTAACTATAATTAAATCTTAAATTAATACATTGTTTGTTATAATAGTTCAGCTATATCATTTACTTTGCATTTATGACATTCCATTATGCATTAAGAAATTTATTACTAAGCATATGCTTTATTTTCCTCTTTTTAGACACTGTTTAAACATTACACTTTTAATTAATTTCCTAATTAGATCTCAAATACTTATGCAAATTCTTAGAGACTATATTATAAATTTTAATGTAAAATGTGATAATATGAACATCAATTTTTCCTCATGAAGGTTAGTAATCATAGCGATGTAAAGATTTTAATAACAAATATCAATACCTAATCAAGTGTAAATTGTTTTGTCAACATTGAAATTGATCTTATTTAACACGTTCACGGACAATACAAATTTTAATGAGCTGTAAAAATAAACAGGCGATTTATTTTTAAATTAATTGTAACGTCTAAAATTTGATTAAAAATAAAAGAGGAGACAAATCAAGAATTAAGTGCATGATGTGGCTTATAAATTTGAATAGCATTGTTATAGCTTATAACATAATAACATGTTATAGTATTCATGTCATTTTAAATTACAATGAAAATGAATGCTATAGTATTCACGTCCGCGAATGCGTTAACAATACAAATAAAATACAACGAACTTTCTACGTAGTTAATAATTTTAACAATAATGCGACCCGTTAAAAGACTTTAAACATCTACTGATATTTTCAATTTTAAAACTAGTATAATATTTTGTACGATAACAACTACAAACCTTTGTCAAAATAAATTACATACGTTTGCAAATTTCCTGGCGTGTTAGGTTATACCCCATTCAAAGTTGCTTTGCAGAAAAGAAAACACGTTACATTCACAGAAGTTCAATGAGAAAGTGACAATTTCCACAAAACTTTTACAAGTAAAAAATGTTTCCAGTCACAATGCACAGAAACAATTGACCAACTACGCGTTTTTCTCTCACATTTTTAAATTAAATCAATTAAAATTATAATTTTTATGGGATTACCATTTCTAGTAACAAAACAATTCACTGTTTTTCTGTTCAAGGTCGCTTTGATACGACGTACAATTGATTACGTCAGAGATGCTACTTACTCCCTAGTATTCCCCCACTACCACTACTTAAGGAGCTGTCCGAGACTGTGTATCTAAGCAGTTCTATGTGGTGTTCAAAACAAATAGGTAAAAGAAGGTATGGAGAGGGTAACTTTTCGTGAGGGGAGTGTTACTAGAGCGCCCGCGGCTAATTTAGGTATCCATATTGTAAATTGATATCGTCTATATATGTATAGTGGAAATATTGTTTTTAGAATATTGGTACTACTTACATTTTGAACGTGCCGAACGTGGAGAGGATCGGCCATTTTTGTTGCATCCGTCTTTTCGTGATAATTCAACATGAAGTAAGTGAGGGTTTTTATAAAATATATATCCACTGAGAATAGTACAATCGTTTGAAATCTTTTGAATATATACAAATAATCACGTTATTGATATCTTTATAGTAAATATGTTGTCAATCTTTTTAGGATCGGACTTTGTGCGTATAGTGGATATAAAATATATCCTGGCCATGGTAAAACCATGGTTAAAGTGGATGGAAAGGTAAATATAATACGATTTTCATATATTTATTATTATTAGATTAAATTTTTATTACCTCAAATGATTCGTAACTTATATTCTTAATCTTTTGTTTAGTTTATATTCATATGTCAAACTTAACCTCTATAATGTTTTTAGACCTTCACATTTTTGAATTCAAAATGTGAGTCTGCACATTTAATGAGGCGTAATCCTAGGAAAGTCACGTGGACTGTACTCTACAGGTAATTTTAATCTGTAAATAATTTTTGAAATTGAGATTTAGGTTTACAAAGTGTAATGTAATGTTATAGACGGAAGCATAAGAAAGGCCAAGAAGAAGAACAAGCAAAAAAGAGGACAAGGCGTACTCAGAAATTCCAACGTGCCATTGTTGGTGCATCTTTAACAGACATTTTGGCCAAACGTAACATGAAACCAGAAATTCGTAAAGCGCAAAGAGATCAAGCCATTAAGTATGTAAAGTTTGATCTTGTTTATATATACATTCACTGTACATTTTTATATTATACAAAAATGTTAATATTATAGACATCTGTTCCTTTGGCGTGATATGTTACAACACGTCAGATTTCAGAATGTCTTAGATCAATTGGACTGCTTCACCTAGAATTGTTAGTTAATGTTCACACTGTCTGGTTTTTGCGGGTTCATACAAATTCTATAACATGATTCATTCTATAATTTTTGTATTTGTCAAATCTCTTATTTACGCTACTTTATAATTCTAGAGCTGCTAAGGAACAGAAGAAAGCAGCGAAAGCAACAAAGAAAGCCGTTGTTGCTCCTAAAGCTAAGAATGTAACAAAACATAAAGCTGCAAAAGTAACACAAAAATCAGCACCACGTGTTGGAGGAAAACGTTAAATTCAAACTGCTACATAAATAAAATAAACTTTATATTTAAAAAATGTATTCTTCACTTTTACTTAATTATTTTTAATTAACTGAATGTCCTTCTGTCAGTAAAATCAGTACAATTAACGATTGCACTTGTTGGGAGTTAAATATGTAAATTAGAACTACTTCTATTCAGACATTTTATGCGATGACAAAATATAATTCTTGTACATAACTTTTTATTCTTTTTTATTTTTCAATAAGAACAATAGAAAAATAATGTCATTTCCTATGTGAGATCATTTCAAATGCGCAATAATAACTTATTTCTTTTTATTCAGTTCTTTTTTTAATAGTGATAATTTAGTCAATGCTTCGTCTCTCCAGGCGCGTCTCTCTTGAAGTTTGTCTAATGGACACATTTCATTTAATTGATTGCTAATTTTTTCTGCCATCTCGCCTTCAAATTTCGGAGTTGGACCGAAGGTCATGCTGACATCATAGATGGAGTTTTTGTATGTTTCACAATATTTCTTCATTCCTGAAAGGGAATAGACATTATAAAAAATATTCTGGAAACTTATTCACTTTCTGTATGGATTGGAAAATTTGTATACCTTCAGCATTCAAATGAGCGGCTTCGAAAGCGCCGAGGAAAGCGTATCGCATACCAAGACCCTCGCTCATAACAATATCCACATCTTTTGCACTCAACACGCCATCAGCTACTAATCTCCATGTTTCGTTCAGAATCGCGTATCTATATGTAAAAATTTTCCAAATGAAATTGTTATTCAGTGTTATAAAGAAAACTGAATTGGTATAAAATTTTACATACTGTATACGGTTAAGTGCGAAACCATCAATTTCTCTAGTAAATACGACTGGTTTTTGACCGATTTCAGTCATGATAGCTTTAGTCTGTTCTGGTATTTCTGGTCGTGTCCATGGCGCGGGAACGATTTCAACAAGCGGTACATAGTACGGAGGGTTCACCTGTATTCGTATAATAACGTAAACATCTCGTTATTTATCAATATTACCTTTTTATAAATTTAACCTGTCCGACTCAAACATCTAACATACCGGGTGTGATACAATCATTTGTTCGCGATGTTTTAGTTTTTCGCTAATCAAGGATGGTCGGAATGTAGATGTAGACGAAGACAAAATTACTTTGTCATCAACTACTTTGTCGAGTTCGTTGTAGACTTTTAGTTTTAACGGCAGATTTTCGGGTACGCATTCTTGAATCAACTTAGCCCCTTTTACTGTTTCGACCAAGTCGGATGATCCTGTTCATAACATTTTAATATTTAAGTAACGAGAGCTTCTGTTTCAAGGTCTTATGAATCATAAAATAATGAGCGAACCTTTGATCAATTTAAATTGTTGGTCCGCGGTAAGCGAACCTCTTAAAAGACCGCCATTTTCAAGACGCTTCAATTGCTGTTGTACATCTTCAAGAGCTTTCGCAATTTGTTCTTTTACAATGTCATAAATAACGACTTCGTATCCTACGCTAGCAAAGAGCATAGCCCAGCTACGCCCAATTAAGCCGCTAAAATAACAATTATATTAATTATGGTATACAATAAAATTTACGTAAATAAAATACAATTCTATATTTTAAATCGTACATTTTGAACGATACTTCAAAATGGATTGATCGATGCAATTCTCCACTGTTTATCGTTAAACTTTCACGCAGTTATCTTATCTAGGGTAAACTACCATTTTTTTCAATGTATCTGATAATAGTATCCAATAGGAACGTTTTATGTAAGGCTCCTGATCAATTGAATGTTATATATCTAATTACAGCATCGTGAATCGACAAGCTTGCAAGTACTTTTAAATGTAAATTTCCACTTTATTGTGAATAAAAAAATTGATTGAACGAAATTGAGTGACGAAAATTAAGCGCAGAATATGATACTATGAGATTGATCTACTTATATTTATCAATGAGTTTGTATTTTAATTTGTTATTAATTACGATCGGTTTGACATAGATATTCAATGTGGTTAAATACATGGACATATGTTTTTCATTAAAGAATTAAATTATTTATTTATAGAGAACAACAATGTAATTATAAATTAATATAAAATATAATTATAATAATAAAGTAAGTGAAATATGAAGAAATTAGATTGTTTAGGTGTTGCGTATATTTAATTTAATGAAATCTTATTACCTGCCAATAATACCAATTTTTTCGTTTTTAGCCGACATCGCGATACAATTAGATCACTAAAGAACAGAGCTTACGCTCGAGTAACATATAAGTCATGCAATGTCCGACACCGTGTAACTCGCCTTTCTAATAAGCACATATATATATAAGTACTGGATTTCTCCCCACTACATATTCTGTACGATAGTATTGCAAGATACGGTTCTGTCTTTATTCAACCACATTTATCACAAATTCAAGTATTACGATCGCTATCTTTAAACTCAATAACATCGAAAGCCACTATTAAGATACTGAAAGTTTTAATGGGAATAAATTGTTATTGTACTGTGTATTGCATAATTTAAGTTGCTGTTAATTACTCTTTTATTATCACTATATTTACTTATACAGAAAAGTATTACCATAATTTTACCACAATACAATACAACATTAATAACATTATAGAAAATCATCAGTTATTTCATTTTATTAGTTTTTATGTTTATTGATGCAATCACAGATGAACTTGTAACGTAATACTCGCTAGCAACTTGAGTACGATGTAATTCAAAGATATTAGTTATCGAATGAGATATGTGTAAATTTCCTTTACGTACCCTTAATGATTTCAAGTCGTTACAGATGAATCACATGTAATAAATAATTCTGTCGAATTGAGATGTATTAGTATAGATGTTTGTGATATATATATATATATATATATATATATATATATATATATATATATATATATATATATATATTGTCAACAGTAAGTTATTTGTAAAACTTATCAGTCAATGAATATATACTAATTATGCATAAATAATACAGAATTTTTATAGCATACATCAAATTTACATAAATTTACAAACAATGAAAATTTACATACATACTCCAAATAATGATAAACTTTTATTTTATCAGACAAAGAGGGAGAACGAAGAAAGTGAGAAGGAAACTGTGTGAGTGGAAATCATAGCACGCCTATGTGGAATTATATTTGATGGTAAAAACAGCTGTTTATGACGTTTTAACCTCAATATACGGTCAGAACCCAGGGTTTTTGTTATGCTTGTTACGGTCAGTTTTGCGGGGAAATTCATCTGTAAAGAGTGACTAGTTGATGGCGCTGGGTTTCTACGGGGAAAAACCTGCAGCCGAACTCAAGGTTAAACATTACGCATTGTCAAGATAAGTTAGAGTATTCATGTTGGATAAGTACGTGAGCGTCCACAGTACGTGATTATTTAGCTTCTACAATCTGTTTATTTTGAAGAAGTTTATGCATTCCGTATTCTAAATTTATTTTTAATAGTGTTTATTTATTAGTTTTTTAATAAATGATACAGTGAACGTTTATTTGATTGTGTGACATCTACAAAAATAAACAATGCCCGAAGTCTACGAAAATTATAAGGTTTACACGAATGTAGCTGAAAACCAGGAGTACTCTTCTCTTGGACATGGTAATTTTTCTTAATATTTTCCTATATGTTTCGATCTTTGACTTTATTGATCAGTTTTATTGTAATTTCAGTTTCCCGAATAAATTTTTAATAAATTTATGGAATGAAACTGGTAAAAATATATTTATTTATAATGAAAACATTGTAATGTTTTATTACAGACACTATAATGTTGTAACATTTCTTATACATAAAAATGTTAAAACATTAAACTACAGTTAAATTTGTACATGATACATTTCTTTCTCTTTTATTTTTAATAAGCACTTGTTTGTTTTTATTTACAAGATTTACAGATAATGAATGACCAAGGTATGTTTAGTCCATTTAATGGATCCCAAGGAACAAGTGCTGCTTCACCTGTTTCAACTTCCTTATCATCACATATCACCACATATGGTACTGATTACATGTTATTAAATTCTTTAAAAGATGCCACAGGTACATAATAATTTTAATTTATATATACATAGTATAAGAAACAATGCTTGATATTAATTAATTGTCTATTTTTCCTGTTTCTAGCGATTGGAGAACCATATCTTACAATTTTAGAGCAACCAGTTGAAAAATTTAGATTTCGATATAAATCAGAAATGATAGGAACCCATGGAAGTTTAGTAGGTTCAAATACTGGCAATGGTCGTAATAAACATGCACCAATGGTTCAGGTATATGTTTATGATTAATCACTTAAAAGTAAAGTATGTATTCATGTGTTATTTATTATTTAATTTTCATTTAATTGAATAGTTAATAGACAAATAATATTGTTTTTATAATACTTAATAAATAATTTTATACCTCTTAGTTACACAATTTCCCTACAAATGCAAAAATACGATGCACATTAGTTACATCTAAGGAGGATTTGAGAATACCCCATGCCCACAGATTGGTGCGTAGAGTAAATGGAGTTGATTCTAATGATCCTCATGATGTCGACGTCACTCCAGAAAATGGGTTTATTGCAACGTATGTAGTGTCTTATTAATAAATTGAATTTCTAACATTAAACTTATTTTAATTGTAATTAATCTTACTAATTTAATTTGTTTTTTTTTCATTGTTTTATTAATTGCATAATATATAGATTTCATGGGATGGGAATTATACACACTGCAAAAAAACATGTTAGGGAAGAACTTATTAAAAAATTGCGAAATGAGCAATTAGAAAAAAAGAAAAGGGAGAATGGAATTGATACTCTCAGTATTCGGGAAGAAGCACAAGTATGTTATTTAATTATATTTCTTTTTGAATATCTCAGTTTTAGGCAAAGAACATATTTTGTAAACTTGTTCTCATATATAAATTTGAGCATTTAGGATGATAAAAAAATGGGTCTAGTTAGAGAAGCTTTATCATATACATATAAATATATTTTCTTAGTGAATACTAAAATCCTCTTAGACCCCTTTTTTTACCTATTTATATAAAATTAACATAGACATCTATTTTAATGAATACTTAATTGACAGATTAAACATGATGCTGATGACTATCAAAAATGTGTGAATTTAAATAGTGTTGCATTATGTTTTCAAGCATTCATTTTAAATGAATGTAATGTTATGATACCAATAACAGATCGTGTTTATTCAAATACTATTAATAATCTCAGTAAGTAAAAAGTTATAATAGATACATCAAAACATTTTGTATTTAAAAATTATTTTTAATGTAAGAATATTTGTCATTTATTAGAGAGTGCATTAACTGGAGAACTTAAAATATGCAGAATTGACAAATACACTAGTAGTGTTGATGGCGGAGAAGAGGTATTTTTACTTGTAGAAAAAGTGGGAAAAAGTAAGTATATTTTTTTCAGCGTAAATTTTGAAAATAATAAAAAGAATTTCTTATATTCACACTTCTTTCATTGCAGAAAATATAAAAATAAAATTTTTTGAGATAAATGATGACAATAATGAAATTTGGAGTGCATACGGACGTTTCTCAGAATTGGATGTACATCATCAATATGCTATTGTATTTCGGTATTTCGGCAATTCAAAATGTGTAAATTTTTCAAAAATAGTCATTAGATGCATTTTATATATATTTTTACAGAACTCCGCCATATAAAGATCGTGATATTACGTCACCAAAAGAAGTGTTCATACAATTAGAACGACCATCTGATGGTGATTGTTCTGAACCACTAAAATTTACTTACAAGCCAAGTGATAGAATTATAGGTAAATTATATAATCAAAATGATTGTAATAAATTTAGAACTGAATCAAAAGAATTTAATGCACAGGAAGGAAGCGTCAAAGGATGTCATATTCTGGAAGTAGTGAATTATCCTATATTTTGCCTACTTTTAATCCTGGAGTAGAAAATACGTCAGAAAATTTAAGTACTAATAGTAGAGAAATAAGGAAGATATTATCAGAAAGTGCTTCACCAGAGAACAAAATTTTTGTTGATAATATAGACCTTGAGAGTAAGTATAAATTGTAAGCATATCTCAATAAATTGAAATTATTTAAATTTATTTTTATTTTACTTTCTGCTAATTTTAACAGATTATTTAAAATTCCTCGGAAGCAGTGATCAGGACATGTTAACATTTGATGGTCCATCACCTAAACAAGTAAGTATTCTATATTATTTAGTATTTCATTTAATATTTGTTCATTATTAAATTATGAATAATATAAAAATTTACTTTATTTTATAGTATGAAGATGATTTAATGTTTCCTAAAAGTATCCTTGTTGAAGCTATGAAATGTATAAAAATGGATTCCAAAAATAGTAAAGAAAATATACGACAGTTACTTAAAGATCGTTCCACTTTTGGAGATTCCCCATTGCACGCGGCCCTTCGATACGGTCAACGTGAAATTGTTAAATATATACTAATGTTAATAAGTACCGATAAGGATTGCAAGATGCTTGTTAATGAACAAAATGGTTCTGGCAAAGTAAATTTCTTTTTCACAGTCTTTTTTTAAATCCATTGAAAGTTCAATATGAAATATTTATTATTGTATATAAGTATGTTAGCTTGTTTATTTAGTATATTTTATATATGTAAGTAACATTTCATTTATTAGACGCCATTGCATTGCGCGGTTCTGCAAAATCAACCGGAAATTATAAAAGCGTTACTTACGCTTGGAGCTGATCCAAATAGATCGGATGAACATGGGTGTTCTCCATTACATATTGCAGTAAAAAGTAAGTTAAAAGGTTAATTACAGTTTTATGGCACATCACTAAGAATGTGTATATTTTAGATCCCCATACTGCAGCTTGTGTAGATGCTTTATTATCTGATAAGAAAACTAACATCGAAACTCATAATGATGTTGGCTGGACACCATTACATCTTGCAGCAGAAGCAGGTTCATATACTGCAGTATGTTTACTTGTTCAAGCTGGGGTAAATGTAAATAGTACTGATATGTCATATGGTCGAACTGCATTACATATTGCTGTAGATGGTGGGCACAAAGATATTGTAGAGTATTTATTGAAAAAGGTATAATATTAATCTTTGATTGTCTTTATATGGTATTTATAAAATTATAACTAACGTTAAAATATGTTTTATTGTTGTAGACAAATATTGATGTAAACAAAAGAAATTTTAGCGGAAATACTGCTTTACACACTGCAGTTGTCCATTCTGGAATACGAGCAAAAGAATTATGTGCACTGTTAATTAAATACGGTGCAGATCCTCACATTCAGAATCATAATAGAGAATCAAGTGATGTATGTATTTCTTTAAAGAGCATTTTTTAAATTGTTTTATAATTAGTGATTTTAATCGTTAATGCTTAACATATTTTGTTTAATTTATTCATCAGATGGAGAAAAGGAACATACATATAAAACAAGAAGTTAATTCTGACAATGAAAATACTGAAGAAATTAATGGACAATCATCATTTGATTTGGCCATGAATAAACCAGATGTAATTTATCGTTAAATTTTTTTACAAGTATGCATGTCTAATTGATTATAACATTTTGCACTAAAAAATTTGTTTTGTATAGATCTTGCAGCTTCTTAATGGCCATAGTGAAGAAGAATTTTCAAGTGAAATGTGTTTGGTTTCTACTAAATTGGAAGTAGAAAATGAAGATCCACAAAACCATTGGTTAAATAATGAACAAAAAGAAAAATTATCTGTTATTTTAGATAAAACGGGAGGATGGAAAAAATTTGCACTGCATTTAAAATTTGAGTCTTTATTAAAAACACTTGAACAAAACTCATTAAGTCCAACTTTATTTTTATTAAATTACATTGATGTAAGCTATAAAATTTATTTATCATGGTATAGCATTATACTGTAAAATTATTGTAATAATAAATTTAATTAAAAGATATATATTTTTTAGGTTCAGGCACCAATGTCCCTGACTGATTTGGAAACTGTGTTAAGAGATATCGGAGAGAACGAAGCTGCAAATTACATTAATGTAATCACTCTCGTACATTGATAAAATAAATTTTCTTATTCCATTTGTTCATATCATATGTCATATATAGGATGTACAACGAAAAAATGTGTAAAATATGTCATTATTTTTTAATTTTACAATTTACAATTTTTAAGTTTTAGAAATCATAAATGTATATGCTCTGTACAAATACTTAATCCTCTAATATACGAAAATATTAACTTAAATAAAAAACGAATGGATTGTTTAATTAAATTATTACAAACTTAAGATTTGTAGTTAATACTTATTATAGGTCATACTTTACATTATAATTTATAAATATCTTCTACGTGATAACTGTTCAGTATACGTATTTAACCAAATATCTGCATAACCTTTATCGTTACAACCTAACAACTGCTACATTGTCCCTAAAATATCAAGCTTAATTTTGCTTAAAGAAATTATAATGTTGTATTGTTGAATGTTTATCGAAAATTTATCATAAAAAATGTTTTATTTATGAGAAAATCAATGTTTAATTTTTATTACAAAATAATTTAGATCGAATCTCATAGCGCACATAGGAAAACAGCTGTTTCCTATAGTCCATTATATTATTCATACACTTCCCAATAAAAAAAACTCTGTAGCGATATTATGGTCGTAACTTTTTGTGTTAATATCAGTTAAATATATAGTTATTATCGTATCAAAAGTGAATATTGAAATGAGTCACATATTTATAGGAGGCAGACCATTTTTAATTTCATGAAGAAACGGTATTGTGTTAATTTATAATAGTATTATCGACAAAGTATTATCTTTAAAGGAGTACGTTTAATTTAACACAATAAATGGATAAACTACGGAGAGTGCTGAGTGGTAATGATCAGTATGATGAAGAAAGTGGTATTATTGATCAGGTAATTAATATTATTTTTAATACTAATTGTTGTATATATGTATATATTTGTTATTTTATTGTATAAAACTATTATGTTTAATGCTTGCAATTGTTAATGAAAGGCTGATGTGGACTTTACGGTAAGTATGTACATTCAAAAGAAAGCAATACAAAATTTCTATATTCCTTAAATAATAATATTCATTACTTTTAATCATTTATTCACAATTAATTAATTTATACTCTACTTTTAGGTTATGGACCAAAGTACATTATCTTGGTCCACTCGGATAAAGGGTTTTGCTATATGTTTTATTGTTGGTATACTCTGTTCCATCCTTGGATCATTTGCTTTATTTTTACATAAAGGACTTACAGTATTTGCCGTGTTTTATACATTAGGAAACATTGTTTCACTACTGAGGTAAAATATCTTCAGATGTTTCAAATTTAAACATCTTCCATCAAAATATATTATATACAAATATATTATTTCCCTTTAAAATTTTTAGTATAATATTTATAGTGACTTTATTAATCATTTGCTTAAGAAATCTTTTAATATATTTGAAGTGATAAATAATATTAAATAAAATAATAAATTTGGTTACAGTACATGCTTTTTAATGGGACCATGTAGTCAATTAAGAAAGATGTTTGCTGCAACAAGAATAGTTGCAACAGTTTTAGTATTTGTTGCACTCGGAATGACACTCTTTGCAGCATTATATGTATGTATAAAAATAAGTATATACATTATTATCTATTATATTATAATTTTAATTTACAACCATTGTTTTTATTTTCAGCTAAAAAACCCTGGATTGGCCCTTTTATTTATAATTATTCAATCACTGGCAATGACATGGTACTCTCTTTCTTACATACCTTATGCACGTGATGCTGTTAGGAAGACTGTGGAATCTTGTATTACATGAAAGGAACCTTAAGAACATATAGTGAACCAATTTGCTTAAAATGTGTTCACAGTCTATGTTGCACAAGTTATAAACTGAACTATAAAATTAACTTAAAAATGTGAAATATAACATTAAGAAACTTGATATAAATAAATATGCATTTATTTTTGAAATGCTTAATGTTTATCTGTACTTGAATGACAATACGATGAAAATGTTTATCAATATAGATTTAATGTTATAATATTTTATAATAATATTATAAGTAAATGAAGCTATAGAATTGATAAGATTTATAATATTTCAATAATCTTATTTCTTTTATAAAGCTTGTTGTATAATAATTGTACAATATCAATAGTTTTGTACATTAAAATGAAATTAACCTATTATTCATTCTCCATAATATAAATTTCCTTGTATAAACTAAGTACATACATAATATGTAAATATTAAACATGCGTAATTGAATCTTAAATATTTAAGTTTACAATTATGAAGGTATTATTTTATAGAAAGTAACCATTTTTTATTCAGATTTTATTAATTCAATTTATTTTTCATACACACTATTTATGGACGAATATTATGAAATATTAATGTGATAAATTTTATTTTATCCTATCAATATGTTGATACTAATTAAATAAAATAATAGTAATTAAAATTAAACTGTTGATATTAATATTACATTTTATACCATTTTTAAAAGATTAGCGGGACTTTAAGGACTGTGATTTGGTTTTAAAATTAAACGTTGAATATTAATGGACCAATCACATATTTCATCACTTCAACCACCAATCATATATCAATGCGTTACCTCGTCATACAAAAGTGGAGGTTCTAATTGGACGAAGATAAACAACAATTTCTTTCTCGTCCGCCGATCAGTAGCAACAGGTTCTAAGTACAAAGAAACTTCACGAGCAGCCATTGTACATTTGACGCGCGGGTCGCGATCAGTTCACGAAGTGTCTTATAATTCACGATCTGTTCCATTTATTCTCCGACTATTTATTGATACATTTACGGTAAATGAATCTCTTTCCACGTTTTATAGTTACATTAAGTTATATCTTAGGTTTAGCTTATACGATACGGAAAAACGCTGCGAAAAAATTGCAAATAACCGTTAGGAAACGTAGGTTTAAAATAGCGTGTTCTTTAAATGTAATTTACCATACAATTTATATGCTTATTGAACGTAATTGTAAATACAATTATTGATATACGCGTAGATCAGTGATATAGGTATATTTTTATGAATTTTTTGATATATAATAAGTTAACTAGACATCATAATGAGTTTCTTGAAGTTCTATGCACCATTAAGTACTAATACCATGATAATACTTTTCCAATTCTCCTTTTATGTTTTACAAATTCGTTAATTTGTTAATCTACTGCCTTTCCTCGTAAAATATTTTTATATTATTGTTTCATTATTCTTTTTTCTAGAAAATTTACATATTACATTTTTGGGGAAAATGCCTGCACCAGAGGTTGAAGGGCACGACCGTAAATCTAAATTTAAATTCAATAATAAACATGAAGTAAGTATGTTAATGTGTAATCTTTTTGTAATCATTGCAGAAAAATGAGTAATTTGACATGGAATCTAATGAAAATATCATATAAACGAATGTGTTATGTTATTATTTGTTACATAATATTGATTATTATTTGTTATACAACTTGCTATAATAGGAGGCACGTAGAAGGAGGAATGAAATATCAGTGGAATTACGAAAAGCTAGGAAAGATGAGCAATTATTAAAGCGCCGTAATCTCAATATCGGGCAAGAGCCACAAAGTCCGACAGGTGAAAGTACTCTATCACCTGTTTCTACATCGATAGATGAGATCGTTGCCGGTATGGGATGTTCAGATGAAACGATTCAACTTCAAGCGACGCAAGCATGCAGAAAAATGTTAAGCAGAGAAAAGAACCCACCTATAAATAATATGATACAATGTGGAATTGTACCACGTTGTGTTCAATTCTTGGATTGTCACCATAAGTATGTATATGTTACATCAAATTTGTGCTACTATTGTTTGATTAATACATCATTTATTACTTTATTCAAATGATTACAGTCCTCCATTACAATTTGAAGCAGCATGGGCATTGACCAACGTAGCTTCTGGAACATCAGATCAAACTCATGTCGTTGTCAAACATGGTGCTATACCAAAATTAGTTGCACTGTTGAAATCTTCATCACCTAATGTTGCTGAACAAGCTGTATGGGCACTCGGAAATATTGCTGGAGATGGACCCATGGCTCGTGATCTTGTTCTTGGCCATGATGCTATGCCTCTTTTACTGGAATTGATTAAACCTGATACTTCTGTATGTAAAATATGCATAGATTACTAATTTAATTAAATGTAGGATCGAATTTTTTATTGACTGAGAATATAGATTGTAAGTTTAGTACTAAAAAAGTAAATATTTTTTTATAATTTCTGAATATTACGAATCATTTAAAAATTTTAAGTAGTCCAGTAGTACACAAATTCTTAAAGTGTATTACTGATATAGGTAACATTTACTCGTAATATTGTGTGGACACTATCAAATTTGTGCCGTAATAAAAATCCTCCACCTCCATTTGAAATTGTGCAAACTGCATTGCCAGTGTTAAACCGTTTGCTTAGTAATACGGATAAGGATATACTTGGTAAGTTAGTTATAGTTTTTACTGTGCTATTAAACCATTCTGCATTTCTAAATTAAGAGAACATTATTAATATGTAGAAAAGTTTTTAAAATAATAATTTAATATCACAGCTGATGCTTGCTGGGCTCTTTCATATCTCACCGATGGTTCAAATAATAAAATACAAGCTGTTGTGGACAGTGGAGTTATTCCAAAACTTGTGGATTTACTTACTTCAACTGAAGTAACAGTTTTGACACCTGCACTTCGTGCAGTTGGAAATATAGTTACAGGCACTGATATACAGACAGATGCAATAATATCAGCAGGTGGTTTACAACATTTGGGAATACTATTGCAACATCATCGTATTAATATTGTGAAAGAAGCTGCATGGACCATTAGTAATATTACTGCTGGTAATGTGGACCAAATTCAGCATGTTATAAATGCTGGATTACTACCACCCTTAATACATGTTCTACAAAGTGTAAGTAACTTATACTCCTTATTTCATAAAAATAATAAATTAATATTACATTTGGTTTCATAGGGAGATTTCAAATCTCAAAAAGAAGCAGCATGGGCTGTAACCAATTTAACTTCAGGTGGATCAGTACAGCAGTTAGCTCAATTGGTACAATTAGGAGTGCTAGTACCATTTTGTAATTTGTTAGAAGCCAAGGATTGGAAGACTGTAATTGTTGTTCTGGATGGTTTAAATAACATATTAAATGCAGCAGAGAAAATGGGAGAAGTTGACCGAGTAGCTATTATGATAGAAGAAGTACGTGGCTTAGACAAACTTGAAGCTCTTCAGCAGCACGATGTAGATCAAGTCTATCAGAAAGCTATGGCGATGATTGATACTTTCTTCTCTGATGGAGTGAGTAATCAATCTTGTAAAATTTTTAAAATTTGTTTAACTGAAAGAATATTTTATATATTATATATCAATTTCTTATTCTTAGGATGCTGAAGAGTCAACAGTAACACCTACAACAACTGATGGTCAATTGGACTTCAAACCAACTGAAACAACACAAAAGGGTTTCAACTTTTAAAATTCCTTAATCATTTTTCGTTTAATATATTAGAGTGTGTTCCTCCAATTCGTTTTGTAAATAGATATACACTTGTTCATCATAAAACATAAACATTAAAGACAAAATGTTTTGTCTTTCTCGTAATTATTTACAGATATTTTGTGTGCTCCATGAAAACATGAGGTTTCATTTAATGTTCCTTTTCATAGATAGCTTTAAAATGGAGAATTGATTATTCCTTTTTTTATTCCTAGCTTAACCCTTTGCACTCAAAAGTTGACTTTGAGTCATCATTTGATTTTTGATGCAGTAATATTATAAAGTTAAATATTTAATATTAAACTTTATATAATGCATCATTATGTGAAGTGTTCAAATAAAATAGTTTTGTTCCTCACTTTATGTGTGAATTATCGTTAAGTTAGTAGCAAAAAACATCATCTACATCTCATCAGGAAATGTTGAATATTTTTAGTGAAAAAGTTTCGAGTGCAAAGGATTAAGAGTACTTTTTCTATATAAATTACAAGTTTCATAATTTTTACAACGGTGATTCTTAAATAACTTGACTGCTTTAAATTTTTCTTTAAATTCATAGCATTTACAAGAATAATTTCTTTTTGTATTTAAATATTGTTAAATCTCATTTACCAACTGTTATCATGTTCTCTTTATTTACAAATAAAATATTTTAGGTTACATTACTTATTACATTTTGTATGTATTTTTTAATAAAATTTTGATACAAAACTTGACATGTACATATAATACTTAAGTTCCTTCTACATAATCTTATACGTGGGTAAAATAGATCACAATTACACTTGTACAAAGTTTAAACGTAAAAATATATCTATGCAGACTTTAAAATTATCGTTACGATTTTAACAACTTAATATTTAAGCTAATATAAAATTAACATATGTTAGAGAACTTCGTTTCTTATTATGAATAAATTTACATGTTATGTGTTTAGCCATTTTAGGCCACGAAGACTAGATGAAATTTTATTACTTAATTACGAGTATTTCATACTTAGCGTTTAATGCACTTTTTAAAGTAAGATCTGGAATTGGCAAGTTAGTTATTACAATAGAAATTTTGTTCATGTCATTATTAAGTACTACTACAACGGTATTAAATATTACAAAATATTACTAATATGTTGAAAATTAAATTATTACATTATTTCCTTCCTATAGTTTCAACGTAGGTACGAGATTCACAGTGCCATTGTAGAAACCAGTGAACATGATCCTCTGACCATTTCATTTATTAGCGGTTCACTTGTGTCTCGTTATTCGTATTCATCATTCACTATTGGTGAAACTGAAACATGGCTTGCCCACTATTAACTGACTGTGACATGAGATGGATAACAATGAAATTATAAAAAGATTTTAAAGTACAATTATAGGGAGAGAGTTTAGCTAGTAAAAAAAAAGACATGTATCGAATACTTTCATTTTTAAATTTTAAACGTGACTATCGATCATGAATAAAATCACTTTGATCGTTCACTAAAAAGTGGTAAACAAATGCAGCTTTTTTCCTGTCAATTGTTGCTTGAACAGTACGACTTCTTTGATTTCGATCGTCTCTACTTCTTGGCGGGTCTCTTAAAAATATTGATCCAAACAATGTTGCTGCAAAGAGAATGATGTATGAATATTTCTTCGTTAATGTACAAACTACTTACTTTTTATGTAACCTTACCAAGAGTTTTAGCATCAAGTTCATTATCTTGCGTATGGTTTAATAATTCTTTTAAAAAATAGCATATGTAAAGAAAAACTTTTCTCCTTATTTCTGGAAGCTGCATTACAATCTGCAATATGATTAAAAAAATAATTAACCAGTCTTTTTGATATAAAGTATTTTTCACATGTACCTGTTTGCATTGTAAATAATTTACTGCTGCAGATAAGCACACGCTATGCAAATTATATGGAATTAATGGTTCAGCAGTTGATTCTAAGAGTAAAAGTAATGCTTCTGCAACAGAGTGTACGCTACCAGCTTTGTAATTATTAAGGAATAAAAATTTCTATGTCGTTAGAAAAAATGATAATAATTTAAATATTTAATTTTTATATTTAAAAAAGGATACGCATTGGGTCTTGACTCCCATTATCTAACCAATCTCTTATAGCTATAATTTCACTGTGAAGTCCAGGCGTTTCAAAAAGTCCTGCGGTTTTTATGCCATGTCGGTACAATCGATCAACTAAAAACCATATTTCCTTCGGTATTTCATATGGATCTTGCGAAAGATTTTTATTATTTTCCTATAACATAAAGATAGGTATTAGTATAGATTTTATTTTTTATTTGTCTTTCGCTTATGTTCTATGTAATTTAATTACAAGTTCCATTAATCTGCCAATAGGTATTTCTCTAATTGGTACTCGAATGTGGACCAAAGCTTCTATCGATGATCCAAAACAACTTCTTTCGTAAGTGCCTGAAAAAATAAACAATGTTAATAGTGTTCGCATTTATTATTAACATAAGATAAAATTATACTACCTGTTACAGTTATAAATATATCCTTCCCTCCTTCAAGATGTAAAATTAAAATATCATACAATTTATCTTCTCCCGAATTTAATTTGCAAGCCGACCTTTTATCGACATATATTTCAAATCTAGTATCACACTTTTCTCCTGCAATATAAGTAAGATTAGATAATAAAACAGATAATTTATTTTGGAAGTAAAAGTAATTGAAAAATTATACCTGGTTTTATAAAACCTTTAAATGGTTCAATATCCAACCAATCTTTACAATAATTAGTGTCGCCTAATTTTTTTATAAATTCAAATTGTACTGGTACCTATATAAACGATATAATTATTTTCTATATAAAGAATATATTGATTTACAAAAAAAACTTTTTACCTGGCCAGTGTTTGCAATAATGAGTTCTTTACTGCTAGGTTCAAGGAATTTCAAGGTATCAAATATTATTTCAGTAGTATCAACCATTACTTGTGGTAAAAATTCATTTTCTAATTTATCAAGTGTTTTCATAACTTCTTCATGAATTTTACGATATTTCACCCTATCTATAATTCTAATCTGCAAATAATTACAAGTGATAAAACTCATTAATATGCAGTTAACAAGTTAGTCCATTTAAATATTTATAATTACCTGGGAATCAAACATAGCACTGACTGGTTTGTGGTCGGAGATTCTTAATTCAGGATGACTTCTATATTCAATTGATGTAATTGCTTCACCTTTCCACAGTATTCGATCACACCATGCTGGTGATCTACTTTTTTCGCTGAAATTCAGAATTTTTATATAATACAAATGCTTATAGAAAATAATTAACCTATTTTACCTTGAATCCCAATTATCAGTGCCTAAATCGTATTTGTAAGTTGGTTTAAATGTAATTTCTGCTTCATGGAATCCTTGTAGGACACGGCCTAATCGTCTTTGCTGACGAAGTTGATCTAGAGCCAAAAGAGGATCATAGTTCTCTGCCTGTATGTATTGTTTAGCAACTGCAACGTCCATTTCTGTTATTCGATAATTCAAGTCTCCCAACCAGTAGATTTGGCTATATTAAAGATATTTTGCTTTTTAAATATAATAATATTAAAATGTATTCTACAAATGTTTCAGTCAAACACTTACTCGTGATCTTTAAAATTTTTAGGAGGGACATATTTTGAAAATGATAGCCGTGCACATATATCTGCATAATCTTGATTACGTCTTTCATATTCCTCACAATGTGCTGCTAAATGAGCATTAACAAAACAAATAGATGTATTGTGAATGGAACAACTTACTGCTACTCCTCCTTTATTGCCCTAACAAAATGAAATACATGGTAAGAAAATTACATGTATGTCAATATTAAAAATTTGAGACTTTATTAGAATAAAAATATTACCATTTTACCCATAATACCAGTGCCTACAGTATCAACTGATACATCTTTTATAAATGGTACATGACTATTTAAAGCATATATGAGTAACATCATACCAACTAATCTTACAATGGCCACTTGTTCATATACTCCATCTGGATGAAGAGATTTTGCTACAACTTGTCTAGAAAAACAATAACATTTTTTGTAGCTTAAAATATTTCATTTTATGAAATCTTCAATTATAAACTTAGTACCTCCACTCTTCTTCTCTTGGAGTATCATTAAAAAGAAATGCTTCTTTAGTTAAATCTAACTCTTGGAATCCAACTGCATATACATCTGGTGGTGTTTTATTATAACTCAACCATTCATGTAAGTTAATACCATTTGGTGCTTGTCCATTTACATTCCATGTACCAATAAATATACTGTAATTAACAGAATTTAAGAATACAAATAACATTAAAATAAGTTTAATATGTAAAGGCACAGCAACAAACCGGAATGTTTTACTGTATGTATAATCATCTTCTTTGCATGCCATTTGATATCGTACTGCTGATTCCCTGGCAGCTACTGGTGATTTGCCAGAAGCAATGCTTTGTCTTGTTACAACTAGAAGTGGATTCTCTATATCTGTCAACTATAAAAAATGTTTTCAAATTAAAATTATGTAATAATTTAAAGATGAAACATTGACATTTTTATATAAATGATGAACTAACAGGGTCAGTAACACTTTCTACTTCTTTGTTGGTGGTGTTAAAATTACGCACACTTCCTGTTAATTTCTGAATCCATAGGAATTCAGATGCTGGATTATTAGATTTCTGATACACTGAAATTAATAAAATATTAATTAGAAATAAATGTAGCATTCAATTAAAATGTTTAATATGCTTTTACCTTCTATAGCCCTAAATATTTCAGATACTAAGGAACTGGTTCCTACTCCAGGCCTCATTTCAAATATTAATTGTAATTTCCTTGATGTCACATTAAGATAAACATCTAGACTGTCTTGTTCTTTTTCATCTGTATCTTTAAAAATCATTAATTATAATAATATCGTAATCAGTATTAATACAAATATTATGATTACATACTTATGTTGCATTTAAAATCTTGATCAATAGGTAATATTCTTTCTATGGTAAGATCACTATACACTTGAGGAGGAGTTCTAGAAGTAATTAAAATGACCAATGCATGAGTTGTTCCTTTGTTCAGAAGTGCTACAATCCTTGGAGCTTTAACCCAACCCTGAATTAATGAAGCTTCTGTTGTCTATACATATGATTAAGGATTTACGTATGAACATTTTATATTTTATATATTTATAGAAGAAAAAATAAAAGGATACAATTATTACAGTCTCCCCTGATGCAAATTTTGATTGCACAATCAAAGATTGTTCTTGTAATGACATATTTGTTCATATAATCTTTATTATTCTCAATATTTTGTACAATGTTCCTATATGGCATGTGAGATATATTTATGCAAATTATAAACTGTTATTAAGTCATATTATACTAGATATATTACTTCATAAATCACTGTAATTTTAATGTTTGTCACCAGCACTTCTTTATTAACTGAATCTAATGACAAAACAAAAAGTAATAATAGTTAACTCTCCTGTTCATATTATCAGTAACACGATAAAGTAATTGATATTAAAGATAATGGAACTTTAATAAAATTAATCAAAGTTATTATTATTTAAGTTAAAAGACTTCCGTAATAGATCACGTTTTTCATACACATACAACGCGTCACCTTATTGCATTTCTACTAAAAAATTAGCTATCGTTGCTTTTTTTTCATAAGGACTACTCGCAGTCACTAGGAAACGTTGTAATACTCGTATTAAAGCATTTGTACTGAAGTATTTAATTTATCACTGAACAAATACGAGTGACAGATTATTGAAACTGACGTTAAACATGATTAAATTTGTTTTATTAGTGTGCGTTTAAGAAGTCAATAGTAGTAATCTTCGATAGTGTATTTTGAATGTGTATTCGCGTATACGTGTATACATTATCGTTTCACATAGTGAAATTTGACATAAACAGTTAGTGATTTTTGTTATACAAATGGGAAAGAAAAATAAGTAAAATTTATACAAAAATGTTATTCTTATTGCTTACTGCTGCAAAATAAATTTATTATTGGTTATTTCAATGCTTGTGCAATAAAGTAATCCATTATTTCCTCATCAAACTGTGTGTATGATACTAATTTGTGTATTAGAATTAGGAAAATATGTACTTGATAAACTGGTACAATTTGTAATTATCATTTTAACAAACTACTGTCTATGTAAAATAATTATTTTAGAAAATAACATTCACAATGATTTTTATCAGTGTTCTTGAATTTGTTATTTTATTGAGCTCTTTTCATCAAATTTTGAAATTGCGTTTTGCAATTCTAAAAATAATGTTAAAATGTGTAGTAAAATAATGAGAAAATAGATAGATATTTATTGATCTCTTAAATGAAAATGCTACTTGAACTTCTGATACATTTAGGCAAAGGGTGTCGAACTGAAAGCTCTCGAACTCTATAGTGACTTTCTCCTTACGGAGAGTTATCCTCTCCATACCTAGTTTCATCAGTGTACGTCGAATCCTCATTGAACTGTTCACATACACAATCTTGGGCAGCTCCTAGAGTAGAAATAGTAGGAGAACGCTTATCGAGAGTCACTAGTTTGAGGGGAGACAATTCGCATCTCTGATTTAAGCGGGTAAATGGATTTCCCCTAGAAAGCAGGAAGTAAGGTGTACCCACATTGTAGATTGAAAAATATTCCGACTTCCTGAGGCGTCGCGAGCGAATCTTCCTTTTCTAGCGCATCCATTGACCATGCCGTTTACTGCAATGGCGGTATAGATATTTCACAAAGAAGAAAGTGGATTTTGTGTAAAGTAAGTGAATATTATTTTTTCATTTTATTTTTTCTTTCAATTATTTACGTTACTCAAGTAACACTATACTTTTGTATGTATATTTATGCGAAATTTTTACTATTGAAACATTTACAGGATGATCACGATTTGAATGGGCAAGGTCTAGTTGTACTTTTATAGACTACAGAATTCAGTTTCGTCCATATTGATCAGTGTACTAGCCCATACAACTTAATTTTTCTTATTAAAAATAAAAAAAAGCGAGTTATCTATAACAATTGTTCCTCGAGGAGTTTACCGCCTTATGAGAATCAGACACCAAAGAGTTCGCGGTAATCGTTCTCGACATCTTAGGTTAGGACGATTTTAACTATTGTTTGATAATTCTGTTTAATTGTAATTTGTAGAAATTTCAACTTTAATAATTTTAGATATACTGCATTATACATATATTTTTTCTATTTATTTATTAATTCTAATATTGTTAGAAGATATTTAAAACATGTTTTGCCTATTATATCTAGAAAAGGATGAAGGAAACTAACATTATAAATAATAACATCACACTACATGTTTTTGTTTATATAAAACATATATTTTATGGTATAATAATATGTGAGTTATATTCATCATATGTTGCTGTTTATATTATGTTAACATTAAACCTCTAATGTTTGCATTATATTTTCTGTTTTAAAAATTAGTTATTTATAATATGTATTCAGTTAACTTAGTACCTTAAATTACATACAGAAAAACTTAACTTACAAAAATAATTTTAATTTTCATGGAATATAACTGTTACATGTAATATAATTTTATTAGTGGTTGTTGATCTTTTTCCCGTTTATAATTATATTATAGGTAATACTACATATTTTATTATCTGAATGGACAATAAGGTGAATGTCTCAGAATTAGAAAATATTTCAATGATTGGATCATCTGGAATTTTTCACCTACCTGAGGTCCCAGAGATATCAGATGTATTAGAATCAACTGGTCTGAGTCCACTAACGTCTTCCTTAGATCATACTCTTACTCTTCAAGAGGATAAATTACTTTCAACTGAAGTTAATATGGGCATAGAAGACACATGGTATAATTAATTCATTTATGAAATGAACGATTATTGCAAACGCTAAAATAAGTTACCTTATTAATTTGCCTCTACTATAGGACCGAAGCAAATAGTTCAACTTCGGATTATGCTATTCCACTTCCACCACCACCTAGTTTAAATGATTTCACAGATATTGGCGCAGATGAACTAATTGACGATAGTGGACCTGGTATAGAGCATGGTCCATTTTTACCATCTGGTACACCTGCTTTAAACAATTTGTTTTCGGAAGGTGGAGATTCTCAAGATGATTCTCCAATGGGCATGTGTCTTTATATATTTGTATACAAATTTAATGTTTGTGGTTTTAATGACTTGTTTCATTGAATATTGTATCATTTATATTTGTACTTTCAGAGGATGTAGTGTTACGCGCGGGAGTATGTGGTCTTCGTAATCTTGGTAATACTTGTTTTATGGCTGCTGGTTTGCAATGTTTAACTGCAACCCCACCTGTTCTGCAACATTTTTTGGATTTGCAGCAGAGGGGGGAGAAACTGCCTCCTCCTGGATCACTGATGGCACATTTCAGTGTACTACTTAGTAAAATGTGGTCTGGCAGATACAGTGTTCTCAGGCCTATTGAATTTAAGCAAACTTTAGGAGCATATCATTCACAATTTAAAGATTACAGACAGGTATATTTATATGATCAAGATTTTTAGCGGTAGTCAAAAGTGAATGTAGTCCTATGAATAATGTCATTTTACAGCATGATTGTCAAGAATTTCTTGCTCTTTTGTTGGATTCCTTACATGAACAAATGAACACGGCAAAGTGTACGAAAAATTGTCAAACTCCCTCATCTACAACTACTGCCAACTCAATTAATTCAATTGAGAATTCAAACGGAAAAGCTGTGTCCCCTATTACTGCCACTAGTAATTCCAATTGTAATTCTGATTTATTAGAGATGTATCATTGCTTGCCATCTCCAGAATGTCCTAATAGTCCTAATGTAACGATGGCTGGTTCGCCAAGAGGTAACTATACCTAATACGATTCGTTAAAGATATGAAAATCATTGTAAAAGATTATTTAATTTTAACATTATTCTATAGATTTAGATTCACCGATAGGCGAGTTAGATAGTACTGCAAATTCACCTCGGGGATCACCGTTGAACGACGGTGATGATGAAGAAACGTTAGATTCTGACGAAATTGTTGAAGCAAAATCAAATACTTTTATTCACAATAAAGTTGATGAGAAGGAGAATGAGGAGATTGCTCCGTCGTTAAGGCTGGATACATTAATAGAGCTTTCGAAAAACGTTCCCAAATATCATGGCCTTTATGATATTCATAAAGAGGCGAAAACTAGCAACGCGAACTTTTTAGTGACGCAACAGGAATGTAATAATGAAATTCATTATGATTCACAGAAATATCCAAAAGAGAATGTCCGTAGAATGCCTTTGGACAACTCGAATCTAATGGAGAATCATGATTTTGACAATAAAAGCGTTAGCGTTAAAAGAATAAAAGAAGTTAATGTTCAAAAAGTCAATTGTGGTGTGGATTACGCGTCGAGCGGTTCCGACATAGAATACGACAATGGTTTAGAGAAATGTAATGTGAAACGTATGAGGTTAGATGATCAAGAGAAGAATCATAAACGAGATGGCCTTGGAAGTATTAGCTCGCAATGCACACGGGGTTCTCAAAGTTACGGTAATGGAGCTATAGCCGCGCAAGATGAGATTGAGGCGGATAAACATTGGGCAAAACACTTAGGGTCTAATAGGAGTATAATTGTTGACACTTTCCAGGGACAGTTTAAGAGCAAGGTAATGTCTGGACAGCCTAATATTATATTTGCCATGGAGACTATACGTTGGGGTAATGTCTTACATAATTGGTTTTTACCGTAAAACGCCTCCTATAATAAAATTCAGTAGCTATACCTTCTTGCTTTGCGAAGCGCGAGAGGCAGGTCTCATTCTACTGATACACATTCACTTTATAATTTTTTACCTCAGACGTACAATATAAGTTATGAATAACATCATTTCTTCTTCTGTTCTTTTTTCATTTTGATTTTCATGTTTTCTTTTTTATTGCAGGTTGTTTGTGCAGTATGTAAACATGTTTCGGTCACATACGAGCCTTTCATGTATTTATCAGTGCCACTACCGCACGCGATGGAAAGGCAATTAAATGTCACATATGTTCCTGCAAATGGTGATCAACCTATAAAGTGTGTTGTTTCATTAAATAAGCAGTCACGCATCGGTAAATTGAAGGAGGAGCTGCTTAAAACATTAGGCAAGGAAAACATTGCAGTAGCCAATATTGCACTTGCAGAAGTCTTAGAAAACCACATATCAAAGATTCTGGTAAGCATTGAAGAAAAATCTGTTTTGCATGCGATAGATGTGCCTATCAATTGTTTATATATTTTTTAATACAAACGTATAATCTATGTATAGCATGAAATTTCAAGAAACTTAGGTTTCACTTATTGATTTGATTTATATCATTTTAATATGTATTTAAAATTTCATAGATTCACCAGTGTAATTGAATAATTTTATGAATAGGTATATTGTATATTGAAGTAGTGTATTGAACCATTATTAAGAAATAAGATCAGTTCTATTTGATTTTATGAACAAACGGTGCGTGGGTTTTAAATTCCATGAAAATGTGGTTACGGAGGGTGAAGAAAGCGGCTTATCATGTAGTCTCGGTAATCGTTGATACTGCCCTCCAAGAGAAATGATTATGGAAGAACACTCTCGTATCATAAAGAATTAGTTACGAGGCTACAGTCCATCATACAGACGTCCTTACCGTTCTTGTTTCTTATCTTTTCTGTTTTCGATTTTGTTGTTTGTCGTGCATGCTCCTTGTTTTTGGCCCAAAATGGCGGCCACGATTCCTCTTCTATATTATTTTACCCTTGCACCGTAGGTATCGAGACTTACGTACCTTGCTTGCTGTAGCTTATCGCACTACACGGAAATGTCACTGTCGGATTGTACATCAAGGTTTTAAATTTAAGGATGACAATATTCTGTTGAGACACATCAATGATACGAATCGATCTATATACGCCTTTGAACTCACGGAACCTCCTGATGCATACACTTCAGTGCCAGATGGCGGCGGGGATCGCGTGATGGAAATTGACGCCTGTCAAAAATCAGCAATTACGGGAGACGAGGTTTCATGTACGATTTGTCTCGAAGAACTGGATGGAGACTTGAAGAGGCATAGCGGGAACACCTGTAATTTCGTCATGTGTGATCCTTGTATT